TGGGAGATTGGGATTGACATATATACACTAATATGTAAAAAATGGATAACTAATAAGAACCTGCTGTGTAAAACAATAAAATATGAAAGTTCAATAAAAACCCCAAAACATATATACACTGCCGAATGTAAAATAGTTAGCTAGTGGGAAGCAGCAGCATAGCACAGGGAGATCAGCTTGGTGCTTTGCAATGACCTAGAGGGGTGGGATAGGGAGGGTTGGAGGGAGGCTCAAAAGGGAGTGGATATGGCGACATGTGTATGCATATGGCTGATTCGCTTTGTTGTGCAACAGAAACTAACACAATATTGGGAAGCAATTATACTCCAATAAAGATATATTAAAAACAAAAAACTGTTAGAATAAAGGAATTCAGTAAAGTTGCAGGATATCAACATACAGAAGTCTGTTGCATTTCTGCACACAAATAACCATCAGAAAGAGAAATTAAGAAAACAATCCCATTCACAGCTACATCAAAAAGAATAAAATACGTAGGAATAAATTTAACCAAGCAAGTAAAGACTGGTATATTGAAAACTACAAGCATTAATAAAAGAAATTGATGACACAAATAAATGTAAAGCTATTCCATGCTCATAGATTGAAAGAATCAATATTGTTAAATTGTTCATACTACCCAAAGCAATCAACAGGTTCAGTGCAACCCATATCAAAATTCCAAAGGCATTTTTCATAGAAACAGAGCAAATAATCATAAAATTTGTATAGAACCACAAAAGAACCCCAAATAGCCAAAGCAATCTTGAAAAAAAACAAAACTGGAGACATGCTCCCTGGTTACAAAATGTATTATTTCAAATGTATAGTAATTAAAACAGTATGGTACTGGCATAAAAACACATAGATCAACAGAACAGAATAGCAAGCCCAGAAATAAAGCCACACATATAGTGTCAATTACTGAGAATTTATGATAAAGAAACCAAGAATATATGATGGGGAAAGGACAGTCTCTTCAATAAATGGTGGTAGGAAAACTGGACAGCCACATGCAAAAGAATGAAACCTAACCATTTTCTTATATCATACACAAAAATTAACTCAAAATAGATTAAAGACTTGAATCTAAGATCTGAAACCATAAAATTTTTAGAAGAAAACATAGGCAGTAAGCTCCTTGACATAGGTCTTGGTGGTGATCTTTTGAATCTGACACCAAAAGCAAAGCTAAGCAAACGACATCAAATTAAAAAGTTTTTGCACAGCAAAGGAAAGCATCAACGAAATGAAAAAACCTACTGAATAGGAGAAAACGTTTGCAAATTATGTATCTGATAAGGGACTAATATCCAAAATATATAAAGAACTCATACAACTCAACAACAAAAAAAAAATCTGATTTTTTTAATGGGCAGATCTGAATAGACATTTTCCCCAAGACATACAGATGGCCAACGGGCACATGAAAAGATGTTCCACATCATTAATCATCAGGGAAATGCAAATCAAAACCACAATGAGATACCATCTCACACCCATTAGACTGGCTATTATCAAAAAGAAAAATAACAAATGTTGAAAAGGATGCGGAGAAATGGGAACCCTTGTGCACTGTTGGTGGGAATGTAAATTGGTGCAGCCACTATGGAAAACAGTATGGAGGTTCCTCAAAAAATTAAAAACAGAACTATCATATGATCCAGCAATTCCACGTCTGGATATTTAACTAAAGAAAACAAAAACACTAACTCAAAAAGATATCTGCACCCCCAGGTTCACTGAAGCATTATTTACAATAGCCAAGACATGGAAACAACCTAAGTGTCCATCAATGAATGAATGCATAAAGAAGATGTGGTATATATGCACAATGAAATATTATTCAGCCATGAAAACTGCTGTCTCACCACGAATTAACAATCTTCATTATAAGTTTTCTAAAAACTGATAATAAGTTTAAAAGTTTAAAGCTAATTATACAAAATTATTTTCTCTATATAACTTTTTTCCAGCTCTTTTAAGATTAATACATAAATGCTGCTAGAAAGTTAATTTTACTTAAAAAAAAAAAAACTATAACCAAGTAGATTATTTTGAAAGTCTTTTCCCCCTCAAATCATTTACCAAAAATGACTTTCATTTGCATTTTGATTAACTTATGTAAACACTGACTGTTACCACCCTTGATGAAGGCAAACGGCAAAGGCAGTCCAGCTGGGTAGATGGGGAGACAATGTTAAACAGCCTAACCATAACCCACAAGAAAAAAATCTAATTATCCTAATTACCACCAACACACGTGCCCTCAAATTTATATGTGACAATCCTTAACTCTTGAAAACAAGGCCGTCACCGCACCTCAAGTGGGCGACGTTGGCCAAACACGTGCCGCCACAGGACAGTACACCTGCCCCCTCACAGTGTACATCTCCTCAGGTCACTCCTGGTCCATGCTTTTAGGGCCAATGAGTGCATCCCAGGGCAGGACTCTCCCTTATGGAGGTTTCCAGAGAGTCTGAGTCACAGCAAACACAAGGCTGACTCAGGACTCTGCTCCAGGCTTCCAAACTACCTCAGTGCGCAGCACCCTGTCCCATCAAGACAACCCAGCCCACCACCCCAGTCAAGGGAATCTGGGGAGTTTACTTTGTGATGCTAGGACTGCACCCAGCATCTCCCTTCCAGGGCCTTTTTCCTTTTCCTTGACCAGAATAAATCATCTTAAGTGGTCTCCGGAAGGGGTCCTCCCCGACGCTGGGCCACTATCTCGGGCCATGGGTCCCCTCGTGTCCTCCAGGCCTCACTGGTGCTTAGTCAAGTCTGCCCTGAGCACAGTGCTGGGTTCCAGATGGGCCATAAAGAGGCATCAAGCGGGTCCATGGCCCACCTCAACTTTTATCAAACTGTGATGTTAACATGTCCATGTGCACTTTATTGAACAAGAGTCCATGGACCTTGTCAGATATTCTATATTAGTCAGCTCAGGCAGGGTGGCTTAAACAGAATGTATTTCTAGCAGTTCTGGAAGCTAAAGTCCAAGATCAAGGTGCCAAGGTTGGTTTCTGGTAAGGCCTCTCCTCCTGCCTTATAAATATCCACCTTCTTGCTGTGTGCTCACATGGCCTTTCCTCACTGTGTATGTGGAGAGAGAGAGATCTCTCTTCCTTTTCTTCGAAGGCCACAAATCCTATCAAATTAGGACCCCACCCCTATGACCTCATTTAACCTTAATCACCTCCTAAAAGCCCTTTCTCCAAATACAGTCACACTGGGAGTTAGGGATTCAGTATATGAATTGTGGGGGACACAATTCAGTCCATGGCACACCCAAAGAAGTCTTGTTTCCCAAAAAGGTTAAAAACCACCAGTAGGTAATGTGGCAAACCTCAGAAAGCAGAAGTTGAGTTCTTGCCCTTGATCAGTTTACATCCTCATTGGGAAAACAGACCCACGTGGGATTAGAGCACAGGAAAAGTTATTATACACTGCTGGACAGGAGAGAGTCTTGCTTAATGTACAAACTAATGCTGCCTTCACAACTACACTTCAATTTAAAAAATAAAAGCAATAAATAATAAAAATACACAAATACAAAAACAAACGAACGAATTCCTCTAGATGAACTCATTCTCCAAACTCACTACTCCAAAACATGAAGGCCAAGCCCCAAATCCATTCTTTAATTGTGGCCACCACATGTGACTTCAGAAATGCTGGCAGACTCAACACAAAAGGTAAAAATATCCTCATCCACCAGTGGCTTCTCAATGAAAAACAAGACAAAAACAAAAATATTGTCCTCAAAAAGAAGCAGAAAGAGCCTCACAGAGGCTCATGTGCTTTTTTAGCATATTGATAGAGGAGGTCCAGATTTTCGTCATTAAAGAGAGAGAATTAGGGACTTAGAACCGGAAAGCAGAGCCATTTCCCAAAAGCAGAAATTTCAATGATTTACACCAGGTTAAAGTGAGTGATTCCACACACAAGACAACAGCTGATCTTCACACCAACTGTCTGATGAAGGGCATGTTTTGATATCTGTAATTTACTTTAAAATCACACCGTGTGATATATATGTGAATATGTATCTGAGTCACTCCTCAAAAGAGGGGTTGGGGGCATCCTACTTAAGCTACTCTGGGAGTCCACACTCCAAGAGGCAGCATCTAGAACGCTTCAGTTAAGCTTCATCTCTGGTCAATGCCCAAGGCTGCGCTAATTAGCACAATGAGTATTAAACCTGTTTTCATAGGTAAAGTTAGTGACGTGTCAGTCAGCATACCAGATGTTAAAAATGGAGAGTGGTTGTGAAGTTAGTGGTACTCCAGCTCTGGAGACTGGCTAAAATGTTTTAGAGACGCTCCAGTCTTGCCTGGAGCATCTAGCCTCGGGACCATATCATTAGGGGGTGATGCTCCAAGCTTAAGTCCTAACCGCCTCCAGCTGTGAAATCTTGGTATTCTGGTTGCCTGACCTGGCCGTCTGTAAAGTAAACCGCATCCTGCCTCTAGACCAAAATGAACCTTTCAGAGGGGAAAAGAACATCTATAAGAAGGCGGAGCTTGCACTTCGCCGAGCTTACAGACAGGATGTTTAATTTGAGCGCGTGCATGCTTGCTAATCAATGTCTGCGGGTATGGCACAATTTCATCTAAACTTGTCTTTATAACATGATCGCGAGGATATGGGGGAAGAACTAAGTAATCCTTGCCGACCTCTGACTATCGGGCCTTGGGAGAACTTCCCAAAAAATCGAAGAGTTGTGCCTGATCAAAGTGGCTTGGGTCAGTGACAACTGGGGGTCGCTGTTCTCTCCCGCGGTACCGATGAGGAATTAAAGTGTCAGACGGGCTGAAGAGCCCGCCGGGACAAGGTGAGTCGCTAGTCTCTCCCCTGGCCTCCCAGAGCCTGAACTCCCTCCTTCAGGACCCCGACCCCCGCCTTCCCTCCCTCCAGCCCCTGGGCAACCTCACCGCGGGGCCCGAACCCGCGCAGCCCGGCTCCCCGGGACTGGGCGGCGCGCTGCGCTCGCTCACCTTTGTGGCAGTGGGACAGGAAGTAGGCGCGGGCCCTCAGGTTCTCCCGGTCGAAGCGGTCTATAGAGATGGTTGGATACTCGGCCATCTGCCCCTCGAAGCAGCTCATTGCGTCCGCCAACCCGGCCGGACTGGCCGCCTGCCTAGAGAGCAACGGAAGCCCCAGCCGCCGCCGCCGGCCGCGCCGCCACTTCCGGGAAGCTGCCGCCGCCTCACCATTGGCCGTCCGAGCGCAGCCACGTCCAATCAGAGCAGCCCCGCGGCCCGGGGGGCGGGAAGGGGTCAGCGCCAAGGAGCTTCTAGTCAGTTCCTGCAGCCCGCGACCTGTGGGGTGAAACCAACTAACTGGGCTGCCCTGAGCTCAGACCTGGGAGGCTGGGTGGAGGAATCTAGGGTGCAGCGCGAGGAGTGAGGCTCCTCCCGGATACCTTGACACAACACGGTGTCACTCTGGTGAAGAGTTGCCCGTGTCTGTGCAGGAACGAGAACGCCAAGGGAGACAACACCCAGAACAGGCGGCTCCACCCAGGGATGCGGAGCTTGGCTTTGAAATCGGATGCATTCCACTTCCTGCTTGTCAGCTGCGATCCTGCAAGCCTTCTTTTGCTTCTCTTCCTCTTTCTTGTCCCTTCCCAATGTCTACCTTATAGGATAATCGTCAGGATTGTGTGAGAAAACGGTATCAGGCTTGTGTTAGATTCGAAAACTCTTAGTCCCTGCTTCCACTTATACGTAATCTACAAACGGAGTAAATCCACGATCCCTGATGATCACAGCTCAGATGCATGATCTTAGGGTAGATAAGTAAAGATCCCAAGGAGAGCTGAGCTGCTAGTCCCCCCTACCTCCACCCCTTTTGACCTTTTTCTTTTTTCTAACTTTTTTGTTTCTTTTGGAAGTTAGAAAGCTGTATAAAAGAAAAAAAATGGTAGGGTAATGGGCGAAAGGTCTGGAATTTTTTCACCACCAAAGCAACTTTATGGAAAGGTTTGCTAAAGTATTAACATTCACCGAATAGTCACAATGGCATTACCCGCGCCCCTTAGCAGCAAGTCTCCTTAGACACCACAGTATTATTAATCACAACTCCAATACTTGAGGTCCTACATTGTGCACAGCACCGAGCAAGCCCTGCCGTGATGACAGAGGCGACTAAGATGCGCCTACGAGTCATTTTCAATCTATTTGGAGACAAGAACTTTGCAGAACGTGGTAAATAAATGCTTCCACAGAGACACAAGGTAATGTAGGAATAAATCCAGTAACAATGCGTTCTAGCCAGGGAAAACAAGACTCAGAATGCCACCCTCGGAGAATATCAGCGTGTTCCCTGCAGCCACGGCAGACAGTTCTATTCAAATACAGATTCTGGTGAAATGCTAAGGAGGAGGAAGTGGCGGGGGAGAAGAGGGGGGAGGTGTGGACACGTTGTCACGAATCTGAGTAAAACACCCTGCTAGTGTACATTGCCAACACCTTTGATTTGGCATAAGATGGTTTGTTATAGGATAAAAGAAGGCTGTCGCTGTGACTAGGCTGTCTATACCTAAAACCAAATCTTGCACTGAGCCTGGTATTTGCAGAATCCAGTGTGTCTACCTCTGACAATGAAGCTCCTGGCCACACAGGTCAAGATAAGGCTCATATTCTTATTTATTTGTCCCCGTGTTTATTCCCTCCTCTAAACAATGGATACAGGACAAGAGGATAAAGGCAAACAGAGAGTCAGGATTAAAAGATAGGGTATAAAATAGTAAAGATGGGTAAGCATAGCCCAAACACATGTAATATTGGCTCTTGTAGGGGAAGATTCAGTCACTTACTAGACTTTGGCATCCTCACAATACAAATGAAATGGACTTTCGGAAGAAGCCCAGTTACCTGGATACTAAGTCCCAGGAGAAATGCCTCTTGTGGTTGCTCGTAAAGAAAAGAGTGAACCGTGATTAGTCATTGCTATGTCCTCCTTCCCCAGCTGGGAATTTCTATCCTTCTGCAATCTCAAAGCTCTTTGGACTTCCAAGTCCTCAATTTATTCTGTCCCAGAAGGACAGAAAACTGCTATTAAGTTTATGTTAAATACCTAAAAACTACTTATTGAGGTAGATACAAGTTTTTGTTAGGAAATCAGTACAGAATAACTTTTTCTTAATTTTATGTATTTATAAATCGTTGTCCATAGTGTGGATGAAGAATGTCACTTGCCATATCAGTCAGCAGAGGATGTTTCAGCCATCAAGAAATCAGCCACTGCAGCTACCCCCCCTAACAATGCACCCTGAGGGGATTCAGGATGGAGAAAAATAGGATACCAGCCTTAGATAGTTAAGGTGCAGATCAAGGGAATAATTTCAGTAAGCTCTTGCGTCCTCCCATACATAGAAACGCACTCAAGTCATTAACTTGAGATGTCTGGTTTTTCTTTAATTAGCAGTAATTTTTTGATGTTTGACTACCTGATTTGTTGTTGTTGTTTCATTTTTTGCAGAAACTCCTATATATCCTAGCTCCTCCCTTACCTCTTTGAAACAGACCCTGAGAGCTATCTGAGAGGCTGTATCCCAGGCTTAAGTCCTCAGTCTGCCAAACAAAACCTAAGTCTCAACTTTTAGGTTGTGCTTTCTTTTTTTCAGTTGACAATATAAATAACTTGCATTAAAAAGTTACTGTATCCTGTGCTATTCTTTTAGAAAAAATACAGGCCCTGGATAGTGCTGCATCTGAGCCACTACTATTTATGTGACCTTGGTTAAGGTAACCTCTCGATAACTCAGCTTTCTCATCTTAAAATGGTGGTAACAATGAAGTCCACACAGCGTCCTGGAAAACTGTAAGAGCTCAATAAATATTAGCTATTATTATTTATTTGGGGTATTTACTACTATATGATCTCACTGATATGTGGACTCTAAAGAAATTGCACTCATAGAAACAAAGAACAGATTGGTGGTTGCCAGAGGTGGGGGAGGGGTGGGAGAGATGACTGAAGGTGGTCAGAAGGTACAGACTTCCAGTTATAAGATGAAAAAATCACGGGAATGTAATGTACAGCATAGCGACTATAGTTGACAATACTGTACTGTATACATGAGAGTTGCTGAGGAAGTGTGTATTAAAAGTTCTCATCACAAGAAAACGAAAACTGTATGTGAGGTGATGGATGTTAGCTACACTTGTGATCATGTTGGTGTACTGTATACATGATTCAAGACATTAGGTTATACACCTTAAACTTACACACTGTTATATGTCAATTATTTTTTTTTTTTTTTGCTGTATGCGGGCCTCTCACTGTTGTGGCCTCTCCCGTTGCGGAGCACAGGCTCCGGACACGCAGGCCCAGCGGCCATGGCTCACGGGCCCAGCCGCTCCACAGCATGTGGGATCTTCCCGGACCGGGTCACGAACCCGCGTCCCCTGCATCGGCAGGCGGACTCTCAACCACTGTGCCACCAGGGAAGCCCAATGTCAATTATATCACAATAAAATTGGGAGGAAAAGAGAATGAGCTGTTAATACAACAAAACAACATGAATGGGTCTCAAAATAATTATGCTGAGCAAAAGAAACCAGACAAAAGAAGAGTACATACTGTATGATGCCATTTAAATAAAATTATAGGAAATGTAAACTGATCTAAAGTGACAGAAAGCAAATCAGCAGTCGCCTGGGTACACAAGGAAACAAGTTCATTAACTTGATTGTGGTTTTATAGGTGTATACATATGCCAAAACGTATCAAATTATATGCTGCTAAATATTGCTATTTATTGCATTTCAATTATAGCTCAACAGATTTGAAAAAAAATTAGAGAGTGTATAGGCGAATGTGAACAAAGTAAATGAGATTGGCAAGGATATTCCTTCTCTATAGGAGCTGACTGATTAAGAAGACACTACCCAGCCTCCCTGATGGTCCAGTGGTTAAGACTCCATGCTTCCAATGTGGGGGGCACAGGTTCGATCTCTGGTCAGGGAACTGGGGTCCCACATGTCGTGTGGCATGGCAGCAAAAAAAAAAAAAAAGAAAGACACTATCCAGCTAATTCACATAATAGAAGGTGGTTTTCGGGGGTGGGGGGTTGTTGTTTTTTTTAAGTCACAATATATGTTATTTTGCATTAGTTACATGTTTTTCTCCAGCACTTTTACCTCTTCTTCTCACTTCCTACCTCCAACCCTCTGGTTGATTAAAAAGTGTTATTATTCAACTAGGAAAAATAAAGTCTGTAAAGGCTACCCAAGGCCCCAGAAAACAGTAAGTGCTCAATAAATGGTAGGTATTACTAGTTACTGGGTGATTACTAAGTGCCAGTCACTGTGCTTGAACCTGGATGTACATAAAGGAATCAGCCATGGTCTACCAAGAGCTTACAGTCTGGCAGAAGTAGAAACTCGTGGAAACAAATAAACACAAGAGGTTTTACACAAGTATGTTAACGGATGTGTGTCAGGGTGTAGTGTGGAGGCCAAGGAGAGAGCTTGTTTCTGCAAGGAGCAAAAGGCCATCCGAAAAATTTAGCAGAGAAGAAAAATTTGAGCTCAGCTTCCAGGGCCAAGAACAGCTGAAGTCCCTGGAACGAGCTTTCATTCCATCTGCAAATATCAATAGTTCCTCTTAACCAAAGTAGCGGACTCAAAAGGGATGAAACAATAGGGGCTTAACAGGGGAAGTCAAGGCTAAACCAGCTAAGAAAGGACCAGACTGAGGAGATTGGCCAAGACGGCAGAGCAGAAAGACCCGGGGCTTCCCTGGTGGCGCAGTGGTTGAGAGTCCGCCTGCCGATGCAGGGGACACGGGTTCGTGCCCCAGTCCGGGAAGATCCCACGTGCCGCGGAGCGGCTGGGCCCGTGAGCCATGGCCGCTGAGCCTGCGCGTCCGGAGCCTGTGCTCTGAGCGCAACGGGAGAGGCCACAACAGTGAGAGGCCCGCGTACCGCAAAAAAAAAAAGAATGTGTAGAAAGACCCTGAGCTCCCCTTCTCTCACAGACACACCAGAATCACAACTATTTGCTGAACAACCTCAATGAAAAAGACTGGAAGCTACCAGAGAAGATCTTTTACAACTCTAGACATAAAGAGGGAAGCACAACAAGACAAGTAGGAGGGGCAGGTCGTGATATAGTCAAGTCCC